ACACCAAAAGTCCAAATCTCACTGAGCAATAGTGTGGAATTCAAACTCCTGTCCTGCCCCAGATGTTACTTTTATTGACAGTCTATCCCTGACTACATCAAACTTCCCTTTCTTTCCTCCCCCATCTATTAATTTGTGATCAATTTCCAATTTCCTCTCCTTTCCTTTTTTCTCTTTCTCGCTTTCTCCCTTTCCATTTCTCCCAGCTTAGCTAGAGTTAAATTTCTTATTTTCATTTTCCTAGGCAATTTTGTCTCTCCCATCTATTCTCTCTTCTCTAGGTATCCCCAGTTTCTATTCCATCCTAAGTTTATCAGAGAATACCCCATTCGTCCAGCATCATCAGGGCACAGGTACAAGGTACAAGAGCAGGTTCACTCTTCAGATTCTATATGGAGGCGCCAAAAACCCAGCCACCTTACACTAAAGAGGAGGTATTGGAACAAGGGCTGGAGTGGGTGTGAGATGAGATGGGTGAGAACCGTCTAACTGCTTTTGTTATTTCAATTCTTAGACAACTGATGGCAAAAGGCCTTGTGCCTTTTCCAATACAACCATTGTGTAGACACTGTGATTATAACATATATGCATGGCATATTTTGCAAATATTTATTGAAATATTAGGTTTGACATCGAAGGTCTACAGGACCCACACTCCCAGATGCTACAGCCGAATGCAGCGGCTCACACCTGTAATCCTTGTAACCCCAGCACTTTGGAAGGCCAAGGTGGGTGAATCACCTGAGGTCAGTTCACGACCAGCTTGGCCAAAATGGTGAAACCCTGTCTCTACTAAAAAATTAGCCGGGTGTAGCAGTGTGCACCTGTAGCCCCAGCTACTCGGGAGGCTGAGGCACGAGAATTGCTTGAACCAGGGATGAGGAGGCTGCAGTGACCTGAGATCACACCCCCACTCTCTAGCCTGGGTGACTGAGTGAGACTCCGTCTCAAAAAAAAAGCAAAATCAAAAGTGTGCCAATGGGTCTAAAGAAACTAAAATGTCAGAGTATATCCACTGTGTTGAAAGCCAGCCCTCCAGCACGCGGATGCTTGGTTACCAGGCATGGCCACCCCATGTGTCATCTGCCCCCATATCACTGGATAGCCACCCCAGCTTGGGTGCCCAAACTGAATGCAGAGACCCACCCAGGGTCAGGAAGCAGTGTGGGTACCATCCAAATGGTGCTCAGAATTGTATGGGCCATCTATCTCGATATTCCGAAATTTCTTTGCAGCTAATAATGTGACAATGTAGAAAGATCAAGGACTTCCAGAGCCAAGGGATGAGAAGACCCGCACCTGTGTGAGCTCAGGCAGGCCGCTTGACGCTAAAGGTCATCACACAACGCACATGTACGCATCCCTAACCCGGAACTAAACACAGCAATAAAGGAAGAAGGTGCCTCTTTCACTCAGGACCTCCTAATACCTCAAGAAAAAAGGCTCTGCGTTCTCATCCCCGTCCTGCTGTCCCTAGCACAGTGCCCAGTCTGGCTGCTGAAGCTCAGTTCTTTGCTTCCCATTCATGGTTTTGATGGTCCCAGCTGATATGCAGAAGGCAGAGGAAGGGGATGGTGCTGTCCAGGGGAGACACGGAAAGGAGCCATGGAGAGGAAAGAGTTAAAGACACATTTCCTCCAGGGCTGGGAGCTTTTCCAGTGACCAGGTGACAGCTTCTGTCAGTGCTCACTTCTGCAGGCAGAGGAACAAGAGTGGCATCTTCAGGCCAGTCAGATGAACTTGGCCAGGGAAATATGGAGGAAAGGCAGGGAACACCCTGATTTCAAAACACACTCTGGGCCGGGGGCAGTGGCTCACCTGTAACCCCAGCACTTTGGGAGACTGAGGCCGGAGGATCCCTTGAGCCCAGGAGTTCGAGACCAGCCTGGACAACACAGGGAGGCCCTGTCTTTACAAAAAAAAAATCAAAACATTAGCTGGTCATGGTGGTACACACCTGTAATCCCAGCTACTAGGGAGGCAGAGGAGGGAAGATCGCTTGAGCCCAAAAGGTGGAGGCTTCAGTGAGCCAGAATTGCACCCCGGCACTCTAGCCTGGGTAACAGTGAGACCCTGTCTCAAACGACACACACTCAGCTGGCCAGTTTGTCTTTTCTCTACCTGAGCTCACAGGTATGGTACGCAAGCACAAGGGCCATCTCATACAAAGCCCCGGGCCCCCACACCATCCCTGATATGTTGACATTTCTCCCCTTGCTGTAGGAAAGGCTTCACCAAACTCCCATGGAGCCAGAACCTCAGTGCCCTTACTGCAGTGTATGTCAGTTATGGCTAGGGCAAGTCGGAAACCAATTTTGATTTTCAAAGAAACAAAATTGATCAGTAGGACATTGGACAGCACATAGAATCTCTGGGAAAGATGGGGAGGCGGGCTCAGGGGACAGGCAGGCAGGAAGGAAGGGAAACAGAACATTTAGAACCCAGTCGAGCACACCACAGGGTGATTCTGCTAAGGACATCATTGTGGGTGCCAATGGCTGCCACCAGCACCACCACCAGCATTAGCAGCTGGGAACAGCTGGGCTCACTGCCCCTGCTGTCCTTAGGGAGTGGATGTTGCTAGTGATACATGTGCCACCACCAAAATGCAATCACCCGTGTCACTTGCATTTTATTTTATTTTTATTTATTTATTTTTGAGACGGAGTTTCGCTCTTGTTACCCAGGCTGGAGTGCAATGGCGTGATCTCAGCTCACCGCAACCTCCGCCTCCTGGGTTCAGGCAATTCTCCTGCCTCAGCCTCCTGATTAGCTGGGATTACAGGCACGTGCCACCGTGTCCAGCTAATTTTTTGTATTTTTAGTAGAGACGGGGTTTCACCATGTTGACCAGGATGGTCTCGATCTCTTGACCTCGTGATCCACCCACCTCGGCCTCCCAAAGTGCTGGGATTACAGGCATGAGCAACTGCGCCCGGCCGCATTTTATTTTTTAGACAGGGACTTGTTCTGTTGCCTAGGCTGGAGTGCAGTGGCCCAATCATGTCTCACTGCTACAGCCTCGCCTCACTTGCTTCTTGCTAAGTGACTGGGACTAAAGGCCTACAGGCCCACAGCACTACTACTCCCGGCTAAGTTCCTTTTTTTTGAGATGGAGCCTCACTCCACTGTCCAGGTTGGAGTACAGTGGCCCAATCTCAGCTCACCGCAACCTCCATCTCTCAGGTTCAAGCGACTCTCCTTCCTCAGCCTCCCATCTCCTGCCTCAGCTTCCCGAGTAGCTGGGATTACAGGGGTACACCATCACGCCCAGCTAGTTTTCGTATTTTTAGTAGAGACAGGGTCACCATGTCGGCCAGGCTGGTCTCAAACTCCTGACCTCAAGTGATCTGCCGGCCTCAGCCTCCCAACGTGCTGGGATTAGAGGCATGAGCCACCCGGCCCTTTTTGTATTTTTTGTAGAGATGGGGTTTGGCCATGTTGCTCAGGCTGGTCTCTAAATCCTGGGCTAAGGCATCCACACACCTTGGCCTCCCAAAGTGCTGGGATTACAGGAGTGAGCCGCCGCACCCGGCTGTCACCTGCTTCTCAACATCACTAACTTTTCACCCAAGTCCTAGGCAGTTGGGTCTGATGGGCCAGTCCCAGGCCGGAGACTTGCACCGTAGCTATAAGGGGTCCCAGAAAAAAGATGTTGCTAGACAGCGATGAATTCTCCAAAAACAGAAAGGAGATACTGCGGATGCTTATCAGCCGAATGCCAGTAAGTGTCCCTTGCAGAATGGGATCAGAGACTGCAAATTGCAGGCCCGCCACCAGAGGGTGATCTGTGGGAAATTACGTGAAAATGTAGAAAACAGCGCGAGCCAGGAATTTATTTAAAGATCGAGATCCAAATGCTGACTGCGTCACCTATTAGCTATGCAATTCGGGCAGGTAAATAAGCTCTTCTGGTTTTCTTCTCGTGAATAGACTAGGAATATTATTCCTACCTCTCTTGCAGGGTGGATGTGCCCAGAAAATCAGATAATCTCATGGACAGGCTTTGAAAACTGCACTTTGAGTAAAACCCTTTGCCTCTCCCGAGCCCGTTTCTCTAACTGTAAAATGAGAACATACTCCCTGCCGGGCGCGGTGGCTCAAGCCTGTAATCCCAGCACTTTGGGAGGCCGAGGTGGGTGGATCACGAGGTCAAGAGATCCAGACCATTCTGGTCAACATGGTGAAACCCCGTCTCTACTAAAAATAGAAAAAATTAGCTGGGCGTGGTGGCGCGTGCCTGTAATCCCAGCTATTCAGGAGGCTGAGGCAGGAGAATTGCCTGAACCCAGGAGGCGGAGGTTGCGGTGAGCCAAGATGGCACTCCAGCCTGGGAAACAAGAGTGAAACTCCGTCTCAAAAAAAAAAAAAAAAAAAAAAGAGAACATACTCCCATACTCCCTACCCTGCAAGGCTTTTGCGAAGTAAACTAGAATATTATAAATGCATCATGGATTTGCAAATTGAAATTCTGTGCATTCGGAGGTGGCGGGTGGGAGAGGGAAGAGCAGGGACGCAGGGGAGGCCCTGAGTTGCCGGGGGCTCAGACTGGCCGCTGAGCACATCATCATTTTGTCAACACTGGTGTAGGTGAAATCTTCCTCCCCCCCCCCAAAAAAAAACCGAAGGGTCTGGGACTTAGCAGAAACAAGCTACACTCCCCAGGTTCTACTATTCCTGGGCCACGTTGAGGGGCGCCCACCCGTCGGGCGCTGCGTTCCCCGGGGCGTCCCGGTCTCTTCCGCCCGGCCCGCCGCCCTCCTCCCCTGGGGTCACGGAGGTCAGGCTCTCGCAGGGAAAACGTCTTCAGGGGCTAAACATCGGTTTTAAACGAAATGGAAAAAACCCCCAACACGAGTCAACAGCAGAAGACAAGCAGACGCCAAACAAGCGTTCAGAAGCCGTTCAGGGGCGGCGAGGTAGCTCTTCCGGGGAACAGCGACGGGCGCGGATGTCCCTCTTCCTAAAACTGCACCGGGGAACGACCAGACACTGAGCGGCGGCTAGCGCGCCCGAGTCCGCTCGCGAGCGCCAGGCGCGTGGAGAGCGGCGACTGCGGCTGGGCAAACGCCGTCAGGCCGCAGGTCCAGACCCCGACACCTAACTCCACCGAGAAGCTCTGCTCCTATTGGGAACGGATGACTACGGTCGCAAGCTCACGGCCAACCTTGCCGACCTCACCTCCCCGTCCGCTCCCTTTAAGAAAACCCCGCGCATGCCCGGTCCCGCCCCTCGCCCGCCCCTCGGGAAACAAACGTGGCCCGCAGCGGGGCGGAAGCGCTTTCACCCCGAACCAAAATGGCGACTGGGCGGGACTAAACAGGGCGGAAGTGGTTTGCTGGAGGCTGACCAGTGCACCATGGCGGCCGCAGCAACCTCTCCAGCGCTAAAGCGGCTGGATCTGCGCGACCCCGCGGCTCTTTTCGAGACGCATGGAGCAGAGGAGATCCGCGGGCTGGAGCGCCAAGTGCGGGCCGAGATCGAGCACAAGAAGGAGGAGCTGCGGCAGATGGTGGGCGAGCGGTACCGCGACCTGATCGAGGCGGCTGACACCATCGGCCAGATGCGCCGCTGCGCGGTGGGGCTGGTTGACGCCGTCAAGGCCACGGACCAGTACTGCGCCCGCCTCCGCCAGGCCGGCTCGGCCGCGCCCCGCCCACCGCGGGCTCCGCAGGTCAGTCTCAGTACCCCCACCCTGCAGCCCCGCAGGCGGGTCCCGGAGCCCCCGGCCTTGCAGGTCACCTCCCGTTCCCGGCCCCGCGCCGGTTGGTCCCGGATCTCGCGAATCCTTACCTTCCTTAGCCAGGAGCCTGCCGCCTCTAACCCTTTGGGCTCCCCTCAGAGGACAACGCCAACCTCCCATGCACAGATGCGGCTGCTGATCTGTTGTGGAAATGCTATTCAACGGTTTATTTAGGAGCTTTCCCCGACTTCCAGGCCTTGATTCCCTCACTTCACTGGGCTCCTTTCAATTTTAGCGGAAAACGCCAGGGGTGTCTGTCTAGAAGGTTTAACGCTCCCCTGTATAAAACATTTCCTGACATTGCTTTTCTCAGATTTCTTCCCTGTGTTGACACCTGCCCTCCAAGTCATTTATTCCTCATCCCAGCCTTCCCCAATCCCAAAGAGCAATTCCACCCTTTGGGAGTTGCTGAAGGTAGTACCAGCCATCAAGCCCTTACGTGTATGTATGTATAAATGTGTATGTATGTATGTATGTGACAGGGTCTCCTAGACTGCTGGGATTCAGGGATGAGACACCAAACCCGGCCAAGCCCTTATCTTTTTTTTGGCTCTGTCGCCAGGCTGGAGTACAGTGGTCCGATCTCGGCTCACTGCAACCTCTGCCTCCCCGATCAAGCGATTCTTCTGCCTCAGTCTCAGGAGTAGCTGGGACTACAGGCACGTGCCACCATGCCCAGCTAATTGTTTTGTCTTTTCTAGTATAGATGGGGTTTCACCATGTTGGCCAGGATGGTCTCTGTCTCCTGATCTTGTGATCCACCGGCCTAGGCCTTCAAAGGCGTGAGCCACCACGCTGACCACCTTTACCTTTTAATAGCTGAACACTTTCATTTTAAGAACTAAGGCTTTTATCATTCAGGTTATCTATCCTGTGTTCTTCCCCCAAAACGCTATTGATTAGACACGATCAGGAAGGATGGGAGGTAAACAGACACAGCCTCATATTGGAGCTGCAGCTTGCATTCCTGAACATTTTTTTTTCCATCGAAGCATGAAGAGGATCACTGATAAGCAGATAGTGAGATGAAAGTTTGCCTGTCCATGGGGCTGAGCAAAAGTGCACGTGTGTGTAGGAAAAACCATGGGATCTTACAACACTCCTGACTCCAGCAACTCTTCTACATTGGACTTTGATGCCTTGCTGAGTTGCACTGAATCCAGCTTCATAAAAGCTTTGTATCCTTAAATACCCCCAGATTTCTTCCCAAGCCTGTAGAACACTGAGACTGCTTTTGTTTGTTCTTCTGATTTAGTTCTGTGCCTTCCCCTGCAGCCACAGCAGCCATCTCAGGAGAAGTTCTACAGCATGGCTGCCCAGATCAAGCTCCTCTTGGAAATTCCCGAGAAGATCTGGAGCTCGATGGAAGCCTCTCAGTATCTCCATGCCACACAGCTCTACCTGCTCTGTTGCCACCTTCACAGCCTTCTCCAGCTGGATTCTTCTAGTTCCCGACACAGTCCTGTCCTCTCCCGGTTTCCTATACTCATCCGGCAGGTGGCAGCTGCCAGCCACTTCCGGTAAGTGGCGTTAAGACCTCTGGTGGTGGCCAAGCTTCACGCTACAGGTGTATGGAGTTTGTCTTCTTTCCTGATGTACCAAACCTCTTTACCCATGATGTGAAAAATGCCCTGGTGACCTTTGTCATCATTTTTCTAGGTCAACTATTCTCCATGAAAGCAAGATGTTGCTCAAATGCCAAGCCATGTCTGACCAAGCTGTGGCTGAGGCCCTATGCTCTATAATGCTCTTAGAAGAGAGTTCTCCTCGCCAGGCCCTCACAGACTTCCTGCTAGCCAGAAAGGCAACTATTCAGAAACTACTCAACCAGCCACACCATGGTGGGTGTGGCTTCTGACGAACATTTGGTCCTTAAACATGGGCTGGAGAAGGGTGAGCTGCGGGAGACTGAAGCCTCCAGAGTGTCCTCTTTCAGTTTGGGAAAGGTAATTGTTTCAAAGAAGGTGGTTTTCTTCTTTTAGGTGCTGGTATCAAGGCTCAGATCTGCTCATTAGTGGAGCTGCTGGCCACCACTGTGAAGCAAGCTCATGCCCTTTTCTACACTTTGCCAGAAGGACTGCTGCCAGATCCAGCCCTGCCATGTGGCTTGCTCTTCTCTACCCTGGAAACCATCACGGGCCAGCATCCTACTGGTGAGCTCTTAGCCAAACTTTTTTATTCTGGCTCATTCAACTGGTAACTTGCTCAGCATCTACCATGTGCCAGCTACCGTGCTAAGCTTTGGGGATGGAGCAGTGAACTGGACAGGCAGAGACCCTTTCTTCATGAGGCCACAGTTGAGTGGTAGAAGCAAGTATCAGACTCACAAATATGCGAATGTCTATTTAGTGTCAATATTGGTCATTGCTAGAAAGGTTAGTACAAGTTGCCTTGGGAATATTGAATGGAGGGAACTCACCAAGGTCAGAGAAGGCTTCCCTGGAGAAGCCTTTAACCTAAAAGCTGAAGGTTGAGTGGGAGTCAGTCAGGTGAAGAAGGAAGGAAGAGGTTTCCAGGCAAAGGGAAGAGGCTGTGCAAAGATCCTGAGGCAAGGAGAAACTGTAAAACAGCCAGTGAGGCTGAGAGGTATTGGGTGAGCTGGAGAGTCACTTGAACAGAGACTGGAGGTGAGGCCAGGGGCCAGATCATGCCCAGCTTTGTGACCCAGGCTAGGGAGTTGAGACTTTATCCAGAGAACAATGGAAGCCTCCTGGGACCTTCCAGGCTTGGTGTGGACCTTCTGTTATATGTGCCCATGCATCCTATACTTTTATTTGGTAGCTTTTATTCCAACTGAAATGAAATATATGCATTTGGCTTCTAGGTGGCAGTAGATCCCCTCGGGGCTAGAATGGATGCCGAGAGCTCACTTAGGAGGCTGTTGCTGTGATCCAGGTGTCAGCCACTGGGGGCTTGGGTTAGGAAGAAGTGGGGTCAAAGCTAATTGCATGGCTTGGATGTCTGTGTAGGAGGAGAGGATTTGGTGACAGATTGTGAGAAGGCAGGTGACCAAGTTAAGTAGAAAAGGAGCTGTTTTGAAGGGGCCGATGATGGGCTCACTTTGAAATGGCCCAGCGCTGTGCCCCACATCTGTAATCCCAGCACTTTGGAAGTCGAGGCAGTTCAGGAGTTTGAGACCAGTCTGGGCAGCATAGTAAGACCCCATCTCTACAGAAGATAAAAAATTTGCTGGGTGTGGTGGCATGCCTCTGTGGTACCAGCTACTTGGGAGGCTGAGGCAGAAGGATTGTTTCAGCCAGGGAGGTTGAGGCTGAAGTGAGCAGTGATTATGCCACTGCATTCCTGCCTGGGTAACAGCGAGACCCTGTCTCAAAAAGAAAAAAAAAAAGGAAAAAGAAAATGTTGCATTGGCAATGCCTGAGGCCTTGGAATGAGACTGTGAAGCAGGCAGGTGTCTGAGGGCCCAGAACAGAAGGCTGGGAGGTCTGGTTGGAGACACGCTGTTGTGCATCTGCATGTGGCTGTTATTTGAAGCTGTGGGGATGGATAACATCATCAGAAAGAAGAGATGACAGAGGACTTTGCCTTATGGAACTCCAGAAATCCAAGGTCAAATGGAGGTGTCAGCAAAATTGACTAAGGAGATACAGCCAAAGGTAGAAAGGAAACAGAAGAATGTGGCTATTGCCAGAGAGAAGCACTTAATGTCGCCTCATCTTGGCTTACTTTATCTTTCAACTCCAACTCCTTATGCTTCGCTTTCCCTCTAGGTGCTTACATTTAGCACCTCATCCCTCTCAGGAAGTGGCTAACTTGTCAAAGCAGTACAGGGGGACTTGGGAGTGCCCTGGGTTTCAAACTCTAGAGGGTGCGTTATGCTCAGAACATGGTGAATGGGGCCTCCCAGAGTTGCACAGTGCAGGCCTGTCTCCTTCTTGACAGGTCACCTCTAAAGAGCTATGATTGACTCAGTATCAGTATGAGTGGTCATCGGTTCTTTCCTTCCATCTTCAAGGGAGGTAGGAGGATTGAGAGGAAAGGGAAGCCATTACCTTTTACTGTTTTGACAACTTAAGTTCTGCTTTAGAATCCTCAGACTGCAAGTACTCATTTCTTATTTCTACCCTTTTGATCCCCGTTTTTTTTTCCCTCCTGATGTTTGCCATTTTCACAACCGACAGAATGACCAGATATGTAGGTGGCTGCCACACTCCCTGATGGGACCTCACATGTGTCCCCTACTTTCTTTTCCCTTGTATTTCAGAAGTCCAGTTTGAGACCTTCCAAAGGAAGACTATCTGAGTTTTGGAAACTCCTTCTAAGCCCATGTTTTATGTATTTATTTTTTTGGAGACAGGGTCTTGCTTTGTTCCCCAGGCTGGAGTATAGTGGCATGATCATGGGTCACTGCAGCCTCGACCTCCTGGGCTCAAGTGATCCTCCTACTTCAGCCTCATAAGTAACTGCAACTACAGGTGTGCACCATGACACCCAGCTAATTTTGTTTCTTTTTTGTAGAGATGAGGTTTCACTTTGTTGCCCAGGCTGCGCTTGAATTCTTGGGCTCAAGCAATCCACCCCCCTCAGCTTCTGAATGTGCTAGGATTACAGGCGTGAGCCACTGTGTCCCACCTGACTCCCTGTTTTAATATTCAAAGGGTGGCCTAGATTGCTTCTCACTTGGCCTTCTCTTTAGGAAAAGGCACTGGTGTCCTGCAGGAAGGGATGAAACTCTGCAGCTGGTTTAAACACCTGCCAGCATCCGTCGTCGAGTTCCAGCCAACACTCCGAACCCTTGCATATCCCATCAGCCAGGAATACCTGAAGGACACACTGCAGAAATGGATCCACATGTAAGTAGCCAGAAAATGCTTCCCTGTGGCTGGCAGAAACCACCCGTGCAGCCTTGCATGGGGCCAGACAAGGGTCAGCGAGGCATGTGCAGAAAGCCTGCTGTCCTGGATGGCGTGCTGCCCATCAGCCACACTCTGTGACCCATTGCAACCTTTGAGGTCATTCATCATTTGCTGTGGGGGAACCAAGAAGGAATTTGTCTTGTAAAAGTTGTGGGAGTTTTAAATTCTCTTTATGAGAATGTGAGAGTTCCGCAACTCCTGTTTTTACTTAATGCATTGTTTTTGGGTTTTTGTTTTCTTTTTGTTTTTTGAGACAGAGTTTTGCTCTTGTTGCCTAGGCTGGAGTATAATGGCACAATCTCAGCTCACTGCAACCTCCGCTTTCTGGGTTCAAGTGATTCTCCTGCCTCTGCCTCCCAAGTAGCTGGGATTACAGGCATGCACCACCATACCCAGCTAATTTTTCTATTTTTAGTAGAAATGGCGTTTCCCCATGTTGGTCGGGGTGGTCCCTAACTTCCGACCTCAGGTGATTCAACTGCCTTGGCCTGCCAAAGTGTGGGATTCCAGGCGTGAGCTACCGCGCCTGGCCAATGCATTGGTTTTTGAAGCCATTCCATAGGGTTCTAGACTTCCTTATATCCACAGGGAAGCAAGGGTAGGCCTGGTGAGACGGCAACAGACTGCATGCCCCAATCCAGCCAAAACGCTCTGTGTTGCCACAGATCTGCCAACACTCTGAGACACATAGATATTTATCTAATGGAACTCAGAAAAGAGATTTTCAAATGGGATTCTGATGTTTTTCTTAATAAAGATGTGAACACCATGCATCTAATGGAGCCCAAAGGAAATGAATCTGTTGCAGGTGTCATGAAGACATTAAAAATGGGATCACCAACCTACTCATGTACGTGAAGAGCATGAAGGGTCTCGCAGGGATCCGGGACGCCATGTGGGAGTTACTTACCAATGAGTCCACCAATCACAGCTGGGATGTGATATGTCGGCGGCTTCTGGAAAAGCCGCTCTTGTTCTGGGAAGATATAATGCAGCAACTGTTCCTTGACCGATTACAGGTGAGGTGGAAAGTCACATGGTCTGCCTGTTTCATGGCCAATCCTGGTGGTATTGTGACTGTCTTGGGAGACTTCTGTCACTTCCCAAGTATACTCTTTTCCTGCTTAGTAACAGATCCAGAGTCTAGAGCTGAAAGAGGCACGGGGCCTCTGTCACTTGGTCGGGAATGTGCCCATGTTCATCCGTAATGGCTTTATTCTCTGCCAAACCATGCCATCTTTCTGAAGATGGTGAACATTCTGAATGCTAGGATAAATTACCATTTGGTACTCAGTTCTGAAACTTCAGGGAACTGTGATTAGAACTCTTCTCTCATTCTCTTTTAGACTCTGACAAAAGAAGGCTTTGACTCCATCTCCAGTAGCTCCAAGGAGCTCCTGGTTTCAGCTTTGCAGGAACTGGAAAGCAGCACCAGCGGCTCCTCTTCAAACAAGCACATCCACTTTGAGCACAACATGTCGCTCTTCCTCTGGTCTGAGAGTCCTAATGACCTACCTTCCGATGCTGCCTGGGTCACTGTGGCAAACCGGGTTCAGTTTGCCAATAGCGGCCTCTCCATGAAAGCACAAGCCATTAGCCCATGTGTACAGAACTTCTGCTCTGCCCTGGATTCTAAGCTGAAGGTTAAACTAGATGACATCCTGGCTTACCTCCCCTCTGATGACTCATCACTGCCCAAGGATGTTTCTCCCACACAGACCAAGAGCTCTGCCTTTGACAGATACGCGGATGCTGGGGCGGTGCAGGAGATGCTGCGGACTCAGTCTGTGGTCTGCATCAAGCACATCGTGGACTGCATCCGGGCAGAGCTGCAAAGCATCGAAGAAGGTGTGCAAGGGCGACAGGATGTTCTCAGCAGTGTCAAGCTGCACTCAGTTCTTTTCATGGCCAGACTCTGCCAGTCCCTGGGAGAGCTGTGTCCCCATCTGAAGCAGTGCATCCTGGGAAAATCGGAGAGCTCAGAGAAACCAGCAAGGGAGTTTAGGGCTCTGAGAAAACAGGGAAAGGTGAAAACTCAGGAGATCATTCCTACGCAGGCCAAGTGGCAAGAGGTTAAAGAAGTACTCCTCCAGCAGAGCGTGATGGGCTACCGGGTCTGGAGCACTGTGGTTGTGAAAGTAAGAGATGTCACCACTTCTTATCCCTGTCTTGTCTCACCTGTCATATTCCAGTCTTGCCAGCCTCAGTCAGTTGCTTCAGTAGTAAAGGAAAAACAATTGTTTCAAACAGTTACTTAATCTCTGCCAGAAAGTTCAGTAAAACTTTTAAATTCATTTTTAGCCTGGATTCTGTAGACAGAGAAGCTGCATTTTTTCCTTGCATCAGATGAGAATGGAAGACTTTCTGCCTGGATTTCCTCTCTCCAAACTAAACACCATATTCCCAGTAGTTTCCATTTGTATCTTAAGAAGTGGTATTTGGGCCAGGCATGGTGGCTCATGCCTGTAATCGTAGCACTTTGGGAGGCTGAGATGGGTGGGTTGCATGAACCCAGGAATTCAAGACCAGCCTGGATAGCATAATGAAACCCCCTCTCTACAAAAAATACAGAAGTCATTCGGGTGTGATGGTGCACACCTGTAGTCCCAGTTACTTGGGAAGCTAAGGCAGGGGCACTGCCTGAGCCCAGGAGGTCGAGGCTGCGGTGAGCCGTGACTGCACCACTGCAGTCACCCTGGGAGAAGAGCAAGACCCTGTCTCAAAAAAAGAAGTGGTAGTTGACATTTATAGGGTAGTTAGCAACAAAATTCCCATGGCTAATGTCATCGATAATTAGCCAAAAGAGGAGTGCCACCATCACTGTACATAGAGCTTCAGCAGCTTGAGCTGTTCTCAGGATTACACAGATCATTTTTAAGAAACTACAGAGGATCTGAATGGCTTATATGGATATTTGCCTTTTATTACCAGGTTTTGATTCATGGATTCACCCAGTCATTACTTCTAGATGATGCTGGCTCAGTCCTGGCCACAGCCACCAGCTGGGATGAGCTAGAAATTCAGGAGGAGGCAGAGTCTGGCAGCAGCGTCACATCCAAGATCCGACTCCCTGCACAGGTGAGTAGGTACCATCCAAGCAGGGACCATGGGCTGAAAAAGGGAATAAACTGCTCCGTGGAAAAGAAAAAGGATTTTAGAAAATCATTCAACATACAACTTCCGAGGAATAGCTGAAAGTAACATCTGTAACTTTCTACTATGGGGGCGTAGATGTAGGGCTAAGGAAATGGCAGACTGTTCAAGAAGGCGGTTAACGATTCTCTCCTTTTGTAGCACAGGCTCTGTGCTAATTAGAGAACCACTTACTTACAGTGAAATAAGCAGCGTAAAACACAGGCGCCTCTGCCAGGCCAGCCTCAAACTGTGTAACAGCAGATTGCACTTCACTAGGGGCCTCGTGTCTGCGGAACAGTCTGCCTGTAAGAAGCCTCGCTGAGAGAGGTCATAGGCCCTTGTCAGATTAAGTGGATTCACTTTCACCGTGTGTCATTTAATTGGTGTAAGTTGGCAACGTGACATTTCTTTGTTCTTTTAGCCGTCCTGGTATGTACAGTCCTTCCTGTTTAGTTTATGCCAGGAAATGAATCGGGTTGGAGGCCATGCCTTGCCAAAGGTAACAGTACAGGAGATGCTGAAAAGCTGTATGGTTCAAGTAGTAGCTGCCTATGAGAAACTTGCCGAAGAAAAACAGATTAAGGTAGGTGTCTGAATGTTTGCCCATTAAAAACACAAATGTAGGCCGGGCGCCGTGGCTCACGCCTATAATCCCAGCACTTCGGGAGGCCGAGGCGGATGGATCATGAGGTGAAGAGAAGGAGACCATCCTGGTCAACAAGGTGAAACCCCATCTCTACTAAAAATACAAAAAATTAGCTGGGCATGGTGGCACGTGCCTGTAATCTCAGCTACTTAGGAGGCTGAGGTAGGAGAACTGCTTGAACCCAGGAGGTGGAGGTTGTAGTGGGCTGAGATCGTGCCATTGCACTCCAGCCTGGGTAACAAGAGCGAAACTCTGTCTCAAAAAAAAAAAAAAAACCACCACAAATTAAAAACAAAAACAAAAATAACCTTAGTTTTGTCTTGGGTTTGAGCAATTCACATCAAGAACTCAAACTGTTAAGGATCACCAGCCCTGGCATCTGGTGCTGTAAAAAAGCTCCATCTTAGGAGTGGCACCCAGTGCTGTGAGTTTACTTACACCTATTCTCAAGGGTCAAGCAGATCTTCACTAAGAATGCAGCTTAGCACAGATGAAAAGACCAAGACCCAGCATAGTGGCTCACACCAGTGGTCCAGCACTTTGGGAGGCTGAGGCGGGAGATGGCTTCAGCCTCGGAGTTCAAGGCTGCAGTGAGCTATGATCCCACCACTGCACTCCAGCCTGGGCGACAGAGCAAGACCCTGTCTCCTAAAAAAACAAAACAAAAAATCAAAAAACAAAAGGATCAGAGCTTCAAAATAAAAGACCTGGCTTGCAGCCTCAGTGCTGCCACTTACTCATTGGGGGCTCCAGGCAAATCATTCACCTCTGTTTCTTCAGGACCAAATGAGATCCTATAGATCAACTGCTCAGTGGTGTCCTCACTTGCAAAAGGTAGACAGCCCCCTATGCCAGCCACAGCACACCTACCTCAGGTGACTATGGGGAGTTAGAACAGTTTCCTGCCATACAGCATGTGACACACACAGGTGCTTGCTTACGGGAAGTTCTTGTCTCCAACCCTTCACACCACTTTCACTAGGAAGCAATTCTGCCCTTGGTGTTCCCATTTCATTAGTGACCTTTTTTTTTTGGAGAGTCTCAACTCTGTCATCCAGACTAGATGCAGGGGTGCCATCTTGGCTCACTGCAACCTCAGCCTCCCAGGCTCAGGAGATTCGTCCACCTCAGCCGCTCAAGTAGCTGGGACTATAAGGCATGTGCCAGCATACCTAATTTTGTATACTTTTGTAGAGACAGGTTTTGCCATTTTGCCCAGGCTGGTCTCAAACTCCTGGGTTCAAGCAGTCTGCTCATTTTTGCCTCCCAAGGTGCTGGTACTATGGGCAGGAGATACTGTGCCTGGCCAGTAACATTTTTTTAAAAAGGAACATGGTCGGCCAGGGCGGTAGCTCACACCTGTAATCCCAGCACTTTGGGAGGCTGAGGCAGGTGGATCATGAGGTCAGGAGTTTGAGACCAGCCTGACCAATATGGTGAAACCCTATCTCTCCTAAAAATACAAAAATGAGCTGGGCATGGTGGTGCACTTCTACTTGAGGCAGTAGAATTGAGGCAGAACTGCTTGAACCTGGGAGTTGGAGGTTGCAGTGAGCCGAGATTGTGCCACTGCACTTCAGCCTGGGTGACTAAGCGAGACTCCATCTCAAAAATAAAAAAAGGAACAAATTCTGATTTTGGAAAGAATTCAGTAAGTCTTCTCTAATGAGCTTCCTCAAAATACTTCATGCAAGGAGCCTTTTTTTGTCCGTTAGAACAATTTACAGCATCTGAGGCCTTTTTAAGGGCTATGTCTCTTCCCTGCTGTGAGGTATTTAATTTTAAGACCAAGTTTCTAACAGAACTTGCTTTGTTGTTGTGAGATTAAACTGGCCATATGAGTATTAAAACCATCTGCTTCTGAAATAGCAAGCTGAAACTCAACCAAAACATGAAACTATTTATTACACTCATGTAACAAGTCCTCTCTCTTCATGGGTGTGGACCGGGAATTCATTTGCAGAAAGACGGTACATTTCCAGTCACCCAGAACCGGGCGCTGCAGCTGCTTTATGATCTGCGTTACCTCAACATTGTTCTGACAGCCAAGACTGACGAGGTGAAGAGTGGCCGGAGCAAGCCAGACTCCAGGTGTCGTATCCTCTACTGAGTTATGTCAAGGCAATCTCTTCCAAAAGCAAATAGTCCCTTTGCTGGGAAGCCACCAGAGTCCGCCTCTTAACTGCACATTCATTGTTTGTTTTGAACAGTAAGTGCTCATATTACCAGCAAGTTAAATAATGGTCACTTGCTGGATAAATGCCATGGCCAAGTGAATTAGGTGGATTCTCATTTCTCCCTCTTCTGAGTCAGCCTAGCAGCTGCTGAGTATCATTCGAGCCCTTAGTGCCCCTTTTATAGCCAGAACATGGGGAAGGAGTGGACTTCACTTAGACGTCCTGTCAGGTTGAAACTCTTGAGGGTGACTTAAACACAATCATCAGTGACAAGTGTCCTAAACCTACAACTAAGCAGAATAAAATCAAATTTCAGGATTTCTATTGCATTAGGATATCATAAGACTGTTTTGATCCTAAAAAGTGTGGACAGTAATGACCCTAATCCTTTTCTCAGAATTGAGAAAGTGACGGACCACCTGGAAGCCCTCATTGATCCATTTGACTTGGATGTTTTCACGCCGCACCTCAACAGCAACCTTCATCGCTTGGTGCAGCGAACTTCCGTGAGTCAGGTCAAAACCACGCTCAGTGTGAACCAAGTACCACAGGCTCAAATGACAAAATTAACCTCCTCCAGCACTTAATACTCCAGGATGCAGGCTTAGGAGGGAAATAAGACACAAAGAGCCGAGGGTAGTTATAAGGGCTAAAAGAGGATTAGATAAAATTGCACACACCAAAGCAACCAAGATTTGACCCCTTTAGTTGTAAAATAAGGATTATTAAAGTTTTATCCAGTTAGAAAGAGGAATAAAAACTCCCTGATTCTGACCTGTGGCAGTGATAAAAAGTAACTGCGAAGCATTCACATCATACCTCAAAATGATGGTTAGAAATACAGTAGCGATGGGTGACTAACAGAAGTGCCTTTTTCTTACCTGTACAACGAAACCTCCGCATTTTCTTGAGCTCCACTTCTTGTCTGCCAGGTTCTGTTTGGATTGGTGACTGGTACAGAGAATCAGCTCGCCCCCCGGAGCAATACATTCAACTCCCAAGAACCCCATAACATACTGCCACTGGCCTCCAGTCAGATCAGGTAAAGGCTGCTAAGAGGCTGCTGCTGGGCCCCAGAGCTGCCTGTTTTTCCTATTCAATTCTTTCCTCTTGTTTTGGAGGTTTGGACTTCTCCCACTGAGCATGACAAGCACTCGAAAGCCTAAATCAACCAGAAACATCGAAACAAAAGCCCAGGTTGGTGCCAAGAGCAAGAGGCTCATCCGTTGATAGGGTCCCCACCTCCCACCGAGCCATCCGATCAGCTCCCTTTTTAATAACTCATAAAGAACTGAATGACAAAATACACTAATGCTGCTTTTAATGGCGGCGCAATAGAGAAGTACAAGGTTTTACTAGCTTGAGCTAATAGGTGTAAAAGATGCCCACTGACACTACCAAGTAGCCTCTTAATAGAAAATGTAGAAAATATACAGGACAAGGTGGAGGTTCTCTCTTGAATTTAGTAGGGTAAATAGTTAACTGCCAACCCAGAACTATGATTGTACTTGTTTGGAAAAAAATTGTTTTGTTCTGGTGATGATGGTTTTATCTTCCCTTTTAGTTGGGTGGGAAATAACAGAAAATTTGTTTCCCCAAAAGTTTTACATTTTCTTGTTAATACATGTTTCGTTTCAGTAGGATGTCATCTGTTAAGCCCGCAGAAGTCCTCCTGGGTATTTCTGGATTGTGCTGTGTGCACGTGTGTTTGAAAGCTCAAAACAGCTTGTCTCCTTACAGCGTTGAGTTGTGTGCTTTATCGTTAAGACACAGTATTAGCAGTGTGTCCTTTCCATATTCCCTACTGCTGAACCCATCAAGATTTGAAATCCTTGTCAAGTGTCTGGCTTTAAAAGTTGGGAGATGGTAGTTTAAAAAAAAAAGCTCCTGCAAAAACCATCCAGTCCCTAAGCATGGTCTGTGCTGCAGCCTCCTCCAGAACACCGTTTCCACCGCAGTGACGGGCTTTCAGTTCTGCCAACGTTTGGGAAACAGGCTGTGGAAAGAGGTGTCTGTGTCTACCCTTTTCCCAGGATAGTCCTCATTTCCAAATTCTAGTTCTGTCACAAAAGCTCATGCTGTTCCCTGTGTCCTCTTCAAATCCTGACAGACAGCAAAGTCCTCTGACTACAGCCATCATGCTTCTCAGCTCCGCTTGTGTGTGCCGTGTGGACTCCAAGTGGCGTTGCACAGAGGGCGAGTGGGCAGGAGGGCTCGGGTCAACTCTAAGGCACTTTTCTCTACATCCAATGGCAGGTTGTCTCCCCGGCATGCTCCACAGCTGGTGACCCGACACTTCCTGGCTCCTTGTTCAGACAGCTCATCAGTGAAGAAGACAACTCGTCTGCACCTTCATTATTCAAACTTGCCTGGCTCTCTAGTATGACTAAGTAACGTGGCAACACATCTGTCTCTCCCTAAATAAATACTACTGCTTCATTTCTTCTAAAGGTGCCTCTGCTCATTTGATTCTAAGCCACACCAATCTTTCCAGTTTCACTGCTGGAATGTGGCCCCCTAATTACTGTTAGGCGTTACTTTAAGCATCAAGTTAATCCTTGTCCAATCATTTCACACTTCTTGCTTTAGACATCAGTTCAGGTAGCTTACATTTTACCAGCGTTAAACAACACCTTAATTATTGATACTACAAGGTAGAACTATCAATGAGGTCATGTAAGCTGCTGACTGAACAAATTTGTAGGACAAAAAGTCGTTACATGTATCTTCACTTGGAGAACTGCTATGTTTCCTACTGAAGTCTGAGGTGCAGACTCTGGAGGAATAGAAGTTATCTGGGTATACAAGAATCTAAAAGACATTCTCCCTGGAAATACAAATATATAACAAAGAGTAGAGACGATCAGGGAGGGTGCTTCACTGACACAGTCTGAATTGGATCTGATTGTTCTGTTACACAGGAGAGAGTACTTTCAGCAGAACATCTACATATTGAGAGGTAGTATGGCAGTTAATTTCTGTGCAAGACTGAATCAGGCTTCCTATATTTTGGAAAAAAAGTTATGTTTTTTCATGGAAACTAGATACTCTTTACTAGTTTATTGAATAAAAAAAAAAATTGAAGGTCCCGCATTTTTAAAAGGCCCTTTACATAAAGTAAAGTTTCTAATTGACAGATCTGGAAATCAGTCTGAATGGGACATACTATGAATTCAACACACAGAAAGAGTTTTCCTCATACCACTACCTTGACATGGATTTTATACCCTCCCTCAAAAGAATCCTATAAAAAATTGCTTCAAAGCCCCTTTGAAATTGCAATAGTGCAGCAAAACCACAAGTAAACAATTGCCTGTTAACCTGTTATTTCAAATATAGACTGAAAAGCCAACAGGCATTTATCATGTGCAATTTTTCTTTTAAAACAAGTTGTAAGTTGAAATATCAAATCTGCACAGTGCTGTCCCTTCACAGAAGGCGAGAAACTGCCAGTGCATCATGTCAGAGGCCGCCCTCGGTGCTGTAGGCTGTGGAAGTGGGCCTCCCTCAGGGTCTGGTTGATGTGGAAGTAGGGACCTTGGCATAGCGCGGACTGCTCAGACACAGGCTGAGGGGTGTTAGGGCTGGATCCAGCGACGGTCTGGCTTATGCTGCCTTCCGGCCCGCTGGCCCTGTCCGGGCTGTTGATGCTGCTGCTGCTGCTGCTCCCACCACTGTCACTGCCTGAAGACTAGAAGAAGAAAAAGAAACAAGATCACAATCAGGCTGTTTTGTTTAAGAGGTTTACTGTGGTTTCATGTACAGCACTCTATTAAATAGAGTACCTTTCCAATTCAGCTTGAGAATGAAGACATATACTGGGCTTTGGAATTTATAAGTATGCTCTCCTAAGACGTTTCGTCCTCTCCTCACAGCTGCCCTATCAGGTTAAGCAGGATTTACTGTCCCTAATACACAGCCCTAGGAGGATGGGTCCAGGTTCAAGCACGGGCCGTCTAACTCCAAATCCCTTCAACTATATCCTAATTCTTTTACTCCTCTTCTCTACCTGCTTTTCCCACTCATTTCAATAATTTCCAACCAAAGAAGAAGGTTCTCAGCCTCCAAGGGAATGTATCAGTCACTGGGACAGGGTATAAACAAGGTGTCCTCATAACAAATAAGATGGCTTCTGGGCACAAGTGAAGATAAACGCTAAAAGCCTATGCCAATTTGGTGATCATCATGGACATGAAATGGTATTGTGTAACCGCAGGGCACAGACCCTGAAAGGACTAACAGACTTCCGGTCAAGTTATTTTATGCTGGCATTATTGCCGTTCATATGTACATGTGTGCACATGAGCGTGCCTAACTTCTTTACTGTAACATGACTTGGTGTTTTAGTCATCTTAGAGAGCCTACTTGAGATCCCTGGTAAGAGTCACTTTCATTCTGCAGTACAATTGTTCATGTTAAAAAAAAAAAAAGTTACTTTTAGGAATTCCTACCTTCCACCAAGACTCTCAAAGGGGAGTAACACAAAGGACCCATTTCAGGATTTCGGTATTGTACAATTTTTTTTTTTGAGACAAGGTCTCACTCTGTCCTGCAGACTCACTATCCTGGGCTCACGCAATCGTTCCACCTCAGCCTCCTAAGTAGCTTGTACTACATGTGTACGCCACCATGCCCAGTTAATATTTTTTTCAGCAGAGACGAGATCTCATTATGTTGCTCAGGCTGGTCTCCAACTCCTGAGCTCAAGCAAGCCTCCTGCCTTGGCCTCCGAAAATGCTGGGATTATAGGCTTGAGCCACTATGCCCAGCCTTATTTTACAACTTCACTACTGCATTTCTAATAAATGACAACCCTGATAACTCAATTGGTGGTACCTTCCTGTATTTACAACTCAATACAATATTGTATTCAGCATATAAGAATTCTAGTATTAATATCTAGTGTACAATTTTTTTTAACTAGCCATGTAATACATCTAAATTTATGTTCCCTTCGGCAGACATTGGTTCTGAAATGTCTGCTTACAACTAGGTAAAGCCTACACATAAGAAAAAAAGACTGGAGGCTGGGTGCAGTGGCTCACACCTGATTCCCAGCACCTTAGAAGGCCAAGGTGGGTGGATTGCTTGAGTCCAGGAGTTCGAGACCAGCCTGGCCAACATGGCAAATCCCGTCTCTATTAAAAATACAAAAAAATTAACCAGGCATGGTGGGGTGCGCCTATAGTCCCAGCTACTCAGGAGGCTGAGGTGGAGAATCACCTGAGCCCAGGAGGTCGAGGTGGCAGTGAGCCAAGATTGCACCACTGCACCTCCAGCCTAAGGAATTGGAATGAGACTGTCCCCCCCACCCAAAAAAAAAACACACTGGAAAGAAAAAACCAGATCACAGTAGTTATATTAAAATGGAAAGATTATAGCTGCTTGGTTTTTTCTACACTTTAACTGTTTTGCAACATGATTATTATGTATTTTTATTACAAAAATGTATAAATTAAATAAAAATAAACACAATGTTTATATATATTTTAAAGTGATTTTTAAAGTCCTCCTTCTATCCCTTTTTTCACCAAAAGTTACATCCAACAATATGCATATGGAAAACTTATCTGAAGCAATGAAAAAGCAATCTTCACAAGGCAACCATCATTAACAAAACTGAAACCAAGGCTTGTCATAGAGCTACGGTCACATACCCCATTGCCAACAGGTAGCAGGAGACAACCCCTCTTTCTAGAATAAAAAAATAAATAAATAAAGCCTCATGAAAGGATGATAATGGGCTGGGCTGATGAAGTCAGAGAGCAGGATTTGCAGCAGGTGCAACTGTATTTACTTCAAGGCTTAAGAATTCAAAGTCAAAAACAAAAACTATTCTACAAAAGCCTCTCCTAACCTCGTTCAACAACTAGAATGGCCACCTGCACCTGTGAGTCATGAATATTTAACAAATAGGTCACTACACTAAGTAAGAAACCCACCGCGCAGAACGCTTTGTTTCCTCCTAGTCTGTTCTCTTTACTGTTTCTCATTACAGGTACTGTCTGAAAATCAAGGCAAGAACTACAATCAGCTTCCAGTACGTCAAGTCTTCATCTCAAATCATACATATTTCATACTATAACAGCACAAGGGCGATGCTACTCTGAGAAAAGGCAAAAGTTCATTATACATAAGGGAAGATTTCTGTACGTAACTTTTTTTTTAAGGGTTAGATAGATTTGCAATTTGCAGATCATTTAAAAAATCTTGTAAGTCAACTTACAGAGACATGTAGCCTTGTTTATAATGGCTAAAAATTGAAAACAACCTAAAGGTCCCATAGAGAATTGGTTAAATTGTATTACATCCATTATATACTTATATGATGAAGTTCTATTCAGCCATTAGCAATGATCATAGGGATGTACATTTACTAACACAGAAGTCTTCAGCATCATTTTTTACATCACTTCAGTTCATATTAAACAGTGTATATAGTACATCAGTTGATTCTTAAAATGTTTTTCTTAAATGTATACATACATATATTTATATACACCAAAAACAATCTGGAAGGATATATATGACAAAATATTTAGGATCTGGATCTTTTATTTGAAAATTTATTTTCTGAAGTGTCTACCAAAAAAAATTTCTTTTGAAGAAAAAAACTGATCATGAGTAAGTGAACTAAAGAATGCTACTAGGGGTCAGGTGCGGTGGCTCACGCCTGTAATCATAGCACTTTGGGAGGCCAAGGCGGGTGGATCACTTGAGGCCAGGAGTTCAAGACCAGCCTGGCCAACATGGCAAAACCCTGTCTCTACTAAAATACAAAACTTAACCGGCATGGTGGTACATGCCTGTAGTCCCAGCTACAAGGAGGCTGAGGCAGAAGAATAGCCTGAACCCGGGAGGCAGAGGTTGCACTGAGAGACTGCACCACTGCACTCCAGCCTGGGTGACAAAGTGAAACTCTGTCTCAAAAAAAAAAAACAAACCACTACTGCGAAACCAAGTAAGGTCTTCAATTACATTTAACTTTGAGACAGAGACTGAAAAGTACTGACACTGCCAATATGATTTTGAGAAGACTGTCGCACCTTAACTACCTCAGAACTTCTAAAGCTTGTGCTTCAGTTGTATTCACTTGCACGGAGCAAGGCAATGATAATTTTAAACTACTGATGCTTTGGTTTCTATTTTCTGCCAATTCAGACCAGTTTTTTCACTACTGGGGAGACTTAGGGAGTGTCACACGACCTACAGATGGACCAGGATTTTTCAAATTGAGAGAAAATTGGTGGGTTACAACCAGCAAAAAAAAAAAGGAAAACAGTGCAACATAAGGATATTGTTCTGTGAAGCTTTCTTTAAATTATTCACGAATATATTTGGTATGTACTGGGTTACAAAATAAAACATTTCTATGAGATAAGGTCAAAAAAATTTTTTTAAGTTACTGTAGTTGATCTTAACACTGTCAGCCACCAAAGTCATCTACTTTATAGGATAAAGGAAAGATCATTACTCACTTTTAACCCAAAAGGCATAAAAGTAAATTTTAAGTCTCTATCAGTGCCTTAAGATACATATAAAAGTAAAACATTTTTGTCTCCTAAAATAAAAAAAAACTTGAAATAGAAAAAACTTTTATTTCCCTCACTTAGTTGCAGCTTTTTTTATTTTATTTTATTTTTTTCAAACAGAGTCTCTGGCCGGGCGCAGTGGCTCACGCCTGTAATCCCAGCACTTTGGGAGGCTGAGGCGGGTGGATCATGAGGTCAGGCATTTGAGACCAGCCTGACCAACATATTGAAACCCCATCTCCACTAAAAATACAAAAAATTAGCCAGGCATGGTGGTGCGCGCCTATAGTCCCAGATACTCGGGAGGCTGAGGCAGGAGAATTGCTTGAACCTGGGAGGCGGAGGTTGTAGTGATCCGAGGTAATGCCACTGCACTCAAGCCTGGTGCCTGGTGATGGAGCGAGATTCTGTCTAAAAAAAAAAAAAAAAAAATTCTCACCCTGTTGCCAGGCTGGAGTGCAGTGGTGTGATCTTGGCTCACTGCAACCTCTGTGTCCCGGGTTCAAGCAATTCTCCTGCCTCAGCCTCCCCAGTAGATGGGACACCACCAGGCCCAGATAATTTTTGTATTTTTAGTAGAGGCAGAGTTTCACCATGTTGGCCAGGATGGTCTCGAACTCCTGACCTTGTGATCCGCCCACCTCGGCCTCCCACAGTGCTGGGATAACTAACAGGCATGAGCCACTGCGCCCAGCCCCAGTTGAAGCTTTTTAATATCAGATTGCTTGAGGGCAGAAGCCACTACTTGATGTGCACAGTTTTGAAAATGGAAACTGCCATCTTAATAGACAAGTGTTTACCTTGTCACATCTGTTCTTGAAAAGAAAGCAAATTCTTTTACAACAAGAAAAACAAGGGTAAAGACTTTGGGAATGAGAAGGACCACCAAACAGGAAACCCACTCTTATGGTCCTGATTTCTTATGGACTCCTCAAACAGTTTAACGAAATAAATGGTTACAAAGCTCATTTTCTTTCCTCTGAATTGTCCGTTTAGGCTTAGTGCTGACATGACATCTGACCAGGCTGTTTTCATGACAAATCTGTAGCAGCAATCAAGAGAGAACAAAGCTGTGCATAATCTGTGAAATAAAAGTCCCTTGCAAGTCTATGAACACAAGCAAGATATATTTAGGAAGGCTCTGGCCAAGAATCTCTCT